CCAGGAAAAAGAAGGAACTTTTGGAGTGACTTTCACCAAAGTCGATTGTTATAGTTAATCGAAACCTCAAAAGGTTTAGAAAGAGGCAGGGTAAACACCTGTGCTTGTACTCCTTGATTTGCTGCAACTACAAGCAGTATCCCGTCGCAAACGGCGAGAGAACGAGATACTTCAGCTGAGAAATCTGCATGACCAGGAGTGTCAATTAAGTTTAGTAAATAATCCTGAAAGCACACAGCTAAATGGGATCGTCAACAACAGAAAAGATGAATACCCCTTACTTTGTATGGTAAGGCAGCAGTCTGAGCTTTCACGGTTATTCCCCTTTCCCTCTCCACAGGTAACCGGTCAAGCATTTGACTGCTTCGTTCTCCGGGCTTCACAACACCGGTTAATTCTAAAAGGCGATCAGCCAATGTGCTCTTCCCATGATCCACATGCGCCACAATGCTAAAAGGTCAGATACTTCATGAAATAACTGAAACGCCGCTTTAAAAAAGTCTTACCTGAAATTTCGTATTTTCTCTGGAGGATATTTACTGAGATCGACAAGCTTTGTGGGATCCTCGACACTCAAAGAAAGCCTCCGCAGAGATTGGAGGACTGATTTAGTCCGCAGCAGAATTCTTGTCATTGCTTCATGGCAAACCTATGAAAAGGTAGAAAGATTAGGTGCTCACCTTTCTTTACCTTTCTCATGTATTCACCACGCATTCGTTCATAGAACAGGAGATTCTTGTGCGTGTCAGTATAGTCTTGTTAGCTGCCAATGATGGGGCGTTTCAGCGCGGTTGCGCTTGGCGAGGCGCCGACTCGTTTCGTTCTTTTAGTAAGCGACAAGACTGAATCATATCCTTCGTGGAGTCATTTTCCACCAGTTGCTGCCGCTCACCAGCCTCAAGTGGCGGAAAATGGGCTTGGCGGAGTGCCAGTCGTAGCCGCGCAGACACGCCATATCATCCGCTGCGAACCAGATTGCACTTCAGCGACCTGAATGCGGCCAACCCACCACCTATCCAGCCAATACATATATCCGCCCTGGTTAATTGATGAAACCCCTCCGCGGGTTTCAGTCAGACTGCTTTCACACTTCGCGAGTCGGGGAATTGGCGTCTGGGAGAACTAGCGACCACAGCCGGTCGATGGCTATACTTTCCTTTTCCCTCGAAGCGCCGATTCTCTCAAGAGGATGATTCTCTCAAAGCGCCAATTGGATACCAATATTCTCCTTATCGCACGTTCTCCGGGAACTCTTATTGTCCTAAAACCATTTTTCCGAGTAGCAAAGTATGAACGCGGCCTCACAGTGTTCACGGAACGCCGTATAAGCAAGGTAGTGCAGAGAAAAACAGAAAACAGTCACGTTGAAATGAGTGGGTACAAGTAGCCCATAGACCGTTGAATAAACAGCGTTATTATGTCAGCCCTATACGGTTACGAGACAAACTTATCTTGTAGGTGAGTTGAGGCAGATAAGGGGCTTTCAGGCATCTGTCTCACCCCGGATCAAACACGCCTGAGGTACCGTACCGCCGAGTGGACAAAACGTAC